AATAGCCTCAAAAGACTGCTACTAATCTGAGTTACCAGGAGGACAATCAAAGAATCTCAATACAGTTCTTTTAGTAGTACTGTTCAGCAGTATGGTTTCTAATATACCTTATGTATTAAATTTGTCCTCATCCATACACATTTGGTAGATGTGTAATTATATCTGAGCACTTTCTTTCAAAAAAAGGCTTCAAAATGGTTCTACCATCTTTCCAACTTCCGTAATCACTGCATTTCTACCACACCTTCTTGTACAGTATTTCACTCATACTATAGTCAATGATGTTTCCAGTGAGGTTATTCCGGTCTGCCATCTTCAGAATATCCCAATTACAAGTTGCTATTACATATGGGGTAGGGATAGGGACAGGAACAGGGACAGAGAGACAGAGACAGAGAAATAGGGGGGGGGGGGATGGAAGAATAAAATTAATGTTTGTGGAATACCTGAGGTAGTATGTATTAGAGGTATTTTGTTATCTTAACACAATCATTCGGTTGAAATCTTACACCTACTTTTTAAAGATGAGGAAACTGAGATTTCAAATAAATTAATTATTGTTCTAGATTACACGGCTAGTAAGAGGGCAGCCGGGACCTAAACTCTCATCAGCCTGGCTCTCAAGCTTTTCACTGTCACATGCTGCCTCTCGAACCATATTCAAAAGTAGGAACAGTGCTGTAGGCTTTTCCCAAGAGGTGGGTAAGGTGACTTTTACACAGTAATGGATATTGAATTAAAGTTAGACAAAAGTAAAATTGCAAGAGAGACTGTCATCTTACTGCTGCAACCTCTTACAGTACTAAAGGCAGAGAAAACAGTGTGTTGGCCCTGGGGGATGGGGATCAGAATGATACACAGCACAGAAAATCCCATGACAAGAAATTCTAAGGGTGAAATTAAAGCAGGGCAGAGGAAGTACAAGCTGTGCGCTGAGAAAGAGATACACAAAAACAGAAAGATAATAAATGGCCAGAAAAAATAAGAGTAGTGCTCAGTGCATGACAGAAAAGGATGAAGGTAAAAAAACTGTCAGATTGAAAGCCTATTTAATATTTAAGGTGAGGGGTGCAGTTTTTGGTAGCAACTAGGATGATACAATAGAGAGTAGCAACTGAAGTAAAGAAGGATGTATTCACAGGAGGAGGTCAAACGTTAAATTGGGAAGCAGCGCTGTATAACACAAGCTTCCTCATCTATAAGCCAGGACAAAAATGCAAATTTCACAAGTACTTTGTTTTGTTTATTGCAATACTGGGAATTAAACCCAGGGCTGCAACAACAACCACAAACAAACAAATAAACAAACAGGGCTTCATGCATACCTCTACCACTGAACTATATCCCCAACCATTTTAAAAATTTATATAGATACAGGATCTTCTAAATTGCCCAGGCTGGCAACTTTTATTCCTCCAACCTTGGTTTATTGCCAAACTGGGATTACAGATGTGTGCCACTATAACCACTTAATTATATCAAAATAATCAAAGAACAGACTCTAGCATAGCAGCAGGTACCATGTATATTTTAATAAATTGCTGCCTTTATTCAGTCTGCCCTCCCAGTTCTTTTAGAAGACAGTCCATCTTACAGTATTCAAAAGGCTAGGTGTGGTGCACATGGCTGTAATCCCAGCACTCTAGGAGGCTGAGGCAGGAAAATCACCAGGTTTAAGCCTTGCCTGGGCCTCTTGGTGAAGACACTAAAATAAAAAATAAAAAGGCCTGGGAATGTAGCTTCAGTGCAAAGCCCATGGGTTTAATTCCCAGTACTGCAAATATAAATAATCGAAGTATACAACAAGCATCAATCAAAATGCAATCCCCCTGTCAACTCTTTGTTAATTAATCCTTCAATTATTTCTTCATTTAATTAACATTTACTGAACCAATAGCATACTAGGCACTGGGTGAGCAAATAGCAGGAATAGTTGTATTACTGGTATGGCAACTAACCATACCAGTTTTTATTATAGCTGGGCATTATTTCAACCAGTTTACACTAATTCAAATGCCAAAACAATTCTGTGAAGCAGGTACTTTTATTATTCTTATTTTACACACAAAGACACTGGAACTCAGAGACAGATGAATAATAAAGGTTAAATGTTATGTAGGGGCCAGGAATATAGCTCAATGGCTCAACAACTACCTGGCAAGCATAAGGTCCTAAATTTGATTCCCAGTACCCTCCCCCAAAAAAAGTTACATAGCGGCAGAGCACCAGAACACAAACTAGACATTCAGCACACAATCTTTTGTCACCCAGATGAGCATTTAATTCTATATATTTAAATGTCCTATTTTAGGAACTCTTTCATATTACGTGTATTTTTAAATATTCTAGGCTGGGAATAGCACATCTGTAATCCCAGCACTGGGGAGGCTGAGGCAGGAGGATTGATGGGAGTTCAAGGCCAGACTGGGCTACAAAGTGAGTTAAGGTCACTCTGACCTGCACAGCAAAACCCTATCTCAAAAAGATAAAATAAAATAAAATAGATATTATCAAAAGTCTAAGACCTCAATTATTCTTTTCTTATTATTGTTACTAAAGATATATAAGCTTTCTTTTTTTGTTGTTTTTTTCATTTTTATCGGTACCAGGGATCGAACTCACGACTGCCTGCTTGCTTATGCCGCTGAGCTAAATCCCCAGCTCCTAAACTTTCTTTTTAACAAAATCCAATTTTGATTCCAAAATTGGTTCAAATTTGGCACCTGACATTAAGGAGTCTGTAGGTTTACTGGGGAGGTGGGAGTTCCATATACTGTGTAAGATACATAAGAAGAATATAGTGTTGACTTAGTAAATGGCACGGTGATTAGAACTTTCAAAGACAAGAGTCACTTTGGGCTTGGGATTGGGAAGGAGTGGCAGTTAGTTCTGAACTAGGCTTTGAAGCAAAAGGCAAGACATTTGAGTGAGAGAGAGGGAGAGAGAGAGACTATCAAGATTGTATAATAAGAGGCTAGAAATTTTTTTAATGTGTTTAGAAGAAAACACCTAAGCAACAGCATTCATATACATAAAAAAAAGAGGTGCAGTAGCAGAAATGTTGATGTTATGTTATCATTTGTGTCAGGATGTCTTCCTGAAGCTTCATGCAGTCATGGTGGGCTTTTTCAGAGGTGCCTGGATCTAGCTGAGATTGATTCCTGGTACAATACTAAGATCAAGGGCACTAAGATTAAGGGTGTGAGTACTGCCTGCCCTAAATGTAAGTAACCTGGGTAAAATGGAACAAAAAGAGCTTGTCTATTTTGTTACCTTCTGTCCATCATGAACTGTTTCTCCTTCACAATGCCTGTCTGCTGTCCCACTCTGCCTTAAGCCAGCCCTATGGACTGAAATCTCTACAAACTGTGAACTAAAAACCACTTCCTCCCTTAACTTATGGGTATTGAACATTTTGCCTCAACAACAAGAAAAATAAGGAAGCTAGGTGATAAGGGTAAGCTGAAAACAGATTCATAGGAGACCTAAATATCAATCTAACAAACCACGGGAATCTCATCTGCCACATTCAGTCTAATATGATTAGTAAAACACTTATCTTCTTATAGGAGTGCAAATTTGCTAAACTGATGCTATATTATTTATGAAGCTACCTAAATTCATAAACTATGAACCAATTTTTAAGAACATAATGCCCAGAGAAATTTATAGGTCTATTTCAATTCCATATTCATTTCTTAGAGTCCTTTAATAATTACATCAATGACTAATGATTTTTAAGCCTCTATTTGAACATTTTGTAGTGATGGAGAGATCACTATCCTGTAGCATCTAGAATGCTTTAACTACGTGTATCTAATCAAACCATTTCCTGATGTAGGAAGGATAAGAATATAGAGAGAAAGGTGTAACCCTTTCTTTGCAACAAGCACCCGTTTTCTATGGTTTCATCTTTTAAATAACAAAATCCTTTGCATGCGATTAAACAAAGACAAGTATCTTCCACGTGGCAGACGACATTATGTTCCTTTTGTCACCCAGCATTGTTTTTCTCTGATTTCATGCTGCATACTAAGGGGTTGACACACCTTGTTTCCTGCAATGTGGTTCTGCTACAGGCAGTCACAGCCTAGCTCTGGGGATGGCAGTGGGTAGAGCATATGCTTGTAAGATGCATGGCCTTGTTAATCTGACTGAGTTTCAGAAAGAATAACTACTTCCTATGGATTCAGAATTCTTACAATGTGAGGCTAAAATTTCTGCAACCAGTTAACCATCCCAAAAGGGGACAATGTATCTGAAAATGAAGCCAAATCACAAGAAATGCAATTTGGAAACACACAGGAAAAATGCCTTTAGAACACTGTTTAACTGCCTACCTCAAACTGCACTTCAACTAGATTGCTTTTTTCTCCTTGAATCATTTTGAGTTGAATTGTCTTTCAACTTCATCCCAGTTAGTATTATTAGCACACTAACCAATACATATAGTAATAGCTAAATCCTACAACAAAAGATAAGGTCAAGTTCTCAGTACATATTAGACATAATTCTATAATGTGCTTATTAGCAATAACCAACTATTGATGCTAACATAACAAATAAATCTGAGTGAGTATGGTGGTACACATATATGTAATCCCAGCACTTGGAAGGTTGAGGCAGGAGGATTAATGAAAGTTCACGGTCAGCCTGGCCTACATAGTGAGTTCAAGGCTAGCTTGAAATACAGTGAGACCCTGTGTCAAAATATTAAGCCAAACCAAATAAAATAAGAATCTGACACATTTTAACATGACATTTTTCTTTTAACACTGCTTTATGATGTCTTTCAGACAAATTTAATATTTTGTCTGAAAATCGAAAATATAAACGACTGTGACTTTACTATGTAGCAATGTAGCAGCAAGAATAAGCAATTCTGCAACTAAAAGTTCTCATCATATTTATCTATCACAGTCATTTTTTAAAAAACATGAAATAGCCACAAAAATAAATAAACACTAATGGACTATCTAGATACCATTAAAGATTCTTACTTGAAGCTGGAGAGTATGTCGAAGAATCGTTTCTTCTAAGGCATGGATCCACTTCTCTCGCTCATCAGCATCACGAGCTAAAAGAAAAGATTATAGTAAAAAAGATTAAATTCTATACTATATCTCCATATTTGAAAGTAGAATTTTAAAACCATGATGCTAATAGGTTTCAGTTATGCCATTTTCTTAACAGATTCACCTGATCTACATTATCTAAGTATTTAATATCATATAGATGCAATATCTAAGCAGAAATGCAACAATTTATAACAAAAGGCAAAACTGTGTTTAATAATAGTAGGTTACATAACTCAGACCAACCATTCCACTAAGAACAACCATAAATTTGGACTGATTGTTTAAAAAAAACTCATTCCATTAACCAATAAATAATTGTTTAAATATGGTCTATGAAAAAAAACCAAAGAACAAAAAAATATGGTCTGTGAACACAGCAGAATGTTCGCTACTTAGCTATGAGAAACAAAAAACAATGCATTCTGTCATTTGCAGCAACATGGGAAGAACTAGAGATCCCTCTGTTGAGTGATATAAGCCAGGCAGAGAAATAGGCCCCAAGGATTTCACTTGTGTGAATCTTTGCTCATTGATGTAAATGGGTTCCTGGAGCTGGAGAGAATGAAGCAGAGGGGTATTGGGTGAAAGCTGATTGGTGGGTGCTATACTAAGTCACAGATAGGAGCAAGAAGTTTTAGTGTGCTACTAGGAATTTTCTTTTTTTAAAACTAGGAAACGGGGGCTGGGGATTTAGCTCAGCGGCATAAGCGCCTGCCTTGCAAGCAGGCAGTCGTGAGTTCAATCCCTGGTACTGATAAAAACGAAAAAGACAAAACAAAAAACAAACAAAAAAAACCCCACTAGGAATCAAACTCATAATCTTGCACTTGCCAGGCAGGCACTGTGCCACTAAGCTACATGCCTGCTCACAAGAAGGAGACTACGAGTAACAGGAACATACTATTCACTTCAAAAAGCTGAAAAAAGGATTTTGAAAGATTTTACCACAAAGAAACGACATGTGTTTGAGGAGATAAATATATTTAACCCAATTTAAATATTACAAAATGTATACATGAATCAAAATACATTAGCCCACTGATATGTACAATATTTATGTATCAGTTAAAAAAATAAATTTAGCTTAAAATTAAAAAAAAAAAAAACTTGATTGAAAGCAACAAGGTAATAAAGAAATACCAGGCCAAGACCTGGGAGAGGATCACCATGCAGGAAATAAACCTAGTATTTAAAAAAAATCACTACAAAGTGGGCGTGGTGGCACATGTCTGTAGTCTCAGCACTAAGGAGGCTGAGGCAGAAAGACTGCAGCAAGTTCAAGGTCAGCCTGGGCTAGAAAGCCAGCCTGAACTGCACTGCAAGATCCTATCTCAAAAATAAATAAAGTCACTAAAGGCCCATTGGTGAGAGCACATAAGAACTCTACTTTCGGCTCAAAAAATTGAGCAAAAATAAATAAATAAATAAATAAACCTAAATATCTAAAATTTTTTTTTAAAAAAAAAGTCTTTCAGGCCAAAAGTGAAGACTAAGACCCATCAACAGTGGTGACTGGCAAACAGGCCACACTTTGTTGGAGACTGCAAATGGTTTCATTCTGGGATTAAGAATACACCCAAATTAAAACAACTGTGGTCATCTGAGAGGCTCTAAGAAACCTAGACACCTAAAATGAGAACTCAAATAGCCTCTGGTTGTGGGTGCCTCCAGGCATTTAGCTAGCAAAAGTAGCAAACAAAAAATCCTTTCTGCAACATGATAACCTTATTTTAGCTGTTGAATTATTATTTCTATAACCATTTTTAAAAATAGTATCTTTTTTCCACTTCTTTCATTCCTCCCTCGCCCCTCCCGAGTTCCTCTTTTTATTTGAACTTTTTCTTCCTATTTCACAATATCTATTATACATTTTGCTTCTTATTTACATTTTCAGTTTGTCACACCAGAGAAACAATGCGTATTTACATATGTGTGTCCAGTTTATTTCACTTTTGAGTATGGCCTCTAAGTGTATCCAAAAGAAAGAAAAAAATGGAAACAAAGCTTTTATAAATAAGAAAGGAAGGGGGATTGAAGGGAGAGTAAGGGAATGGGGGAAAAAGAATCAAGGTATATCATTTATAGGTATAAATGCCCTATGATAAATGTGATCATTATGTATACCTAAAATGTACCAATAAACAATTTATGACCAAGTCATACATAAGTGGATACATATTTGGAGGACAAACCCTCATATAACTGAGAACAACAACAACAACAAAATACGAAAGATGAGTACACAGTGGTGTATTCCTATAATCTCAGCACTCTGGAAGACTGAGGCAGGAAGGTCCCAAATTTCAGTCGAACCTGGGCAATGTAGTGGCTTGGCAAGACCCTATCTCAAAAAAAAAAAAAAAGGGCCAAATTGTAGCTCTGTGAAAAGACTCTGGGTTCAACTGACAATACTGCAACAAAACAAAACTGACACTATAGCTGAATGTGGTGGCCTGAGCCTGTAATCTCAGGAGGCTGAGGCAGGAAGATGACTGTGAGTTCAAAGCCAGGCTGGCCACCATAGTGAGTTCAAAAATCAGTGGACTATATAATGAAACCCCGTCTCAAAAAATTAATATCAGACAATACAAACAACTCAACAGGAGCCTCAGGTTATTTTATACATGACAAAAATACTTTCTAGTTTGATTTTTCATTTAGATTTTGTAAGTAACCAAATGTTAATTCTAAAATTGAAAAGTATAGTTAACTCAGTGGATGTGTTTAACAGGATTATCAAATACAACTAAAGAAACAATTATAAGAAATTCATCAGAACAACAATGCATCAAAGGGACACAAAATACTGAAGAAACAGTGAGCAACAAATGAGAAAACGTAACTTGCAGGGGACTGGAGACAAATGAGAAGATGAAACAGAAGCACTATCACCTATAAATTTTCTGAAATTGACGGAAGATGTTTTGTAAACATGTACTATTAAAAACAAAAATTTGAAAAAGCAAAATTGATGAAGCTGGGCATGTTGGCCCATGCCTGTTATCTTAGCACTCTGGAGGTTGAGGCTGGAGATTCTTGTGAGTTTGAGGCCAAACTGAACTACATAGTGATCTTATCTCAGAAAAAAAAAAATTAAATGAAAGAGATTAAGAGACAGATTTTGGAAACCCTAGGAATTCCAGATAATTTATTCACTACAGCATTTTTTTTTTTGTAACTGTAAAATGCTGAAAACACTCTTAAGTACCCACTCTGAGAGAGGCAGGATAATCATGCAGTACTGTGTAGGTATGAAAAAGAATGGGGTGATTTCCAGATATACTGTTAATGAAAAACAAAGTATGCCACATTTAGTATAAGATTTATATAGATCTGAAAAAAAATGCATGTGCCCTTTTTTTTTGTGTAAAAGTCAGTAAAACTGGTCACCTAGAAGCTATGGATAGAAAAGAATGGAAAGCCAGGAAGAACAGTAACATGTTACTATGACTAAAGAGGTAGAAACACTTCTTTGAATATAGTTTTTTAATGTATATTCAGACACCAGGCCTGGTGCCACACAAATATAATCCCAGAATTTGGGAGGCTAAGGCATGAGGATTGGTATAAATTCAAGGCCATCTTGGGCTATGTGGTAAGTTTAAGGTTAGTCTAAATTACAAAGCAAGATCCCATCTCAAAAAATGAAACTGGTCAGGCATGGTGGCAAACCCCTGTAATCCCAGTAGTCGGAAGGCTGAAGCAGGAGGATTGCTGTGAGTTTGAGGCCAGCCTGGGCTACAAGTGAGTTCAAGGCAAGCCTGAATTGTATAATGAAGCCCTGTCTCAAAAAGACAAAAAACAAAGTAAAATAAAATAATAAAATAAATTCAGACTCTTAGAAATGTAGTAATGAGAAGCTGGGGAAAGAAAAAAAAGACATGTAGCGATGTTTCATATACCTTTCTATAAATTAAGTCATTAAAATCAACCCGAATGGTAAGAAGAAACCAAAACAGCCCTGATCTCAAACTTCCCAGCCTCCAGAACTGTGAGAAATAAATATGTGCTATTTAAGCACCAGTCCATGGGGATTTTGTTACAGCAGTTCAGTAAGATCTGAGGTATCCTTGGAAGACAGTCCTAAACTAGATAGTGGAAAGCTAAAGAATTTGAGCAAGAAAACAAATATAATAAAATCCAGACAATTCTGGACTACATAAAATATAGTTAACTTCCATGAGACCAATACTTATCTATAAATAATTGAATTGAGCCAGGCAGGTGTGGTGGAGCACTCCTGTAATTCCAGCACTCAGAAGACCGAGGCAGGAGGATTGCTGCAAGCTCAAGCCCAGCCTAGACTATGCAGGGAGCCCAAGGCCAGCCTGAACTGCATAACGAAACCCTGTCTCAAAAAGATGAAATAAATAATAAAAATAAATAAAAACAAATGAATAGGTACTTGAAGATGGTTGTATATATGCCTCTAACCCCAGCAGTGAGGAAGACCAATGTAAAAGAATGCTAAGTTCAAATTCCTCCTAGACAACATAGTGAGATCTGCTCTCAAAATGGAAAACAAAAAGGGCTGAGCTATATAGCTCAGTGAAAATAACAACAAAAAAAGTAGGGAAAATTTCTTTTCCTTCAGAAGACTTACAGTGAATGAGCATAGCAAGACCTGGGTTCCTAGCTACTTGAGAAGCTAAGGCAGGAGGATTTCAAGTTCTAAGCCAGCCTAGGTAACTTAGTGAGACCCTTAGTCAAAATAAAAATTTTTTTAAAGGTTAAGAATACAGCTCAGGCTGGGGTAAGCGTGAGGTTGTGATTTCAATCCCCAGTACCAAAAAAAAAAAAAAAAAAAAAAAAAAAGCAGTGTCACTGATAGACCAAAAGTTAAAACATGGCAGATGGATGTGCCCTTATCCAACTTCCCTGACCAACTTACCCATTCCCAGGGTAACCTAGCCACATCAACCTTACCAGGGCTCCTGCCCTATCAGAATAATAACCTTGCTCCTGCTCCAACTAGAAGAGCTAAAGTTCACAGAGACAT